AGAAAAATTCACTGTGCTTCTGGCTTGTTGTTCAGGAATATCATGGCTGGGAAAGGGGAAAGCCAAGTGGCTCCACTTGAACCCCTTGGTCTTTATACCAGCACAGTGGGATGGGTGTAGGGACACGTAACCCCAGGGGCTGTGCTAACACCTTGCCTGTATTTCGGGGTACCCAGGAAGCCTCGCTAGGGCCAGATTTTGGTGAGAACACCACCAGTGAGACTGGCTTGGACCACCTGGCATCACTCATCTTTCATCAGCAGCGTTTCGCCCCGCACAGCAAACCCAAGCGATTCTCTGTATGGGCACAACTGAAGTTATCCATGCCTCAGCCACGCGGAAAATTTACTGCCAAGCTTCAAAAACACCTTCATCCGCTTGCTAATGCCGTTGCTTGGAGTGGTTTGCTCCAAGATTGAATGCTCCAGGCTCCAGCAAGAGAGCAACAACTCTCCCCCTGCCCTGGTCCCAGCTCGGGGTGGATGTGGCTGGCTTTGAGCTTTGCAGCCCGGGGGACACACTCGCCATCGTCACACGCAGCCCCTATTTACATTTTTCTTTTTATCTAGGGACGGCAGCATGGAAGTTCATTAGAAGAAATGGAGAAAGACCAGCTTTTCCAGCTGGCAAAGGAGCCTCAGCACCTCAATGTGGCAGCAGAAGCTGGGAGCAAGCGGGAAGGATGGGAAAGGGGGATGTTTTCTCCACACAGAGACTCAGTTCGTGTCCCAAACCTGCCCAGGGAACCATTCCCAGCACAAGCCATTGGCTTCCCCAGCAGCCAGGCATCGGATTCCCACAGTAAATTATCACAGCTTGAGACCGGCTGGGTTTCTTTTTTAAAAAGCTGCATTAAAGAAGAACCAATTTAAACATTACTGGCCCTTTTGGGAGGATGACGAGCACAAAGTCAAACCTCTGGCAGCCGTTTCTCCTCAATGGAGAAAGAGCCTTTCGGAGCCCCCCTGAAAGATGTCACCCCCCCTTCCCCAGGGCATCATTTGGACCTGAAGCGAGCGTCAGCCTCTGGACACTAAATGCACCGAGGTACAGGGACAGACACACCTCTTCTCCTCTTCCTCCCCAGTGTTCCCTCTGGAGCGGCAGCAGAAACGGGGCCGACAAAAGTGGTACGTGAAAGATCATGCAAGACAGAGGGATGGGAGGGAAAGGAGAGAAGAAGAGATGGAAGAAAGTTGTTAGAGGCAGAGAGACGAAAGAGAGAGAAAAAGAGGCGTTTAGTTCTGGTTCCTTCCCCTCCCACCCCCTGCCCTCCCCACCAAGAGGAGAAAAAAACCTCCCCAGCTCTTGCTGCAGCCCGGCCGCGCCAGCAGTGCCCTGGCCACCCCCTGGAGGTGGTCACAAATCCGTCATCACGGACCTCCCAGACGTCTGCCACGGCCAAGCACCCTCCCGAGCATTTCAAACCCAGCCCGTGGGACCAACCAGCCCTCCCCAACCAGCTCCTCCTGCCAGGGATTTTAATCCTCAATCCAGCAAGCAGCATCCCAGTTCACCCAGTGCCTTCCGTAATCCTCTCCAGAGGACTAAGTGGGGGAGTCACCAGCACCTTCCAACCCCCCTGAGATACTCGGAGTACTCCAGGCTGCAGCTCCTGAAGCTCATTCATTAGTCGGGCTCATTTCTGCAGCGGAGGCAGACTCAGCCATCAGATTAATTGAGAAAGGCACTCGGAGCAGAGAGCAGCTGCCGGTGGCGTATGTCCTTGTGAGACATTTGCTGCTGCTAATTTGGGGCTTAATCAAAGCAAATGCAGTTATGGTTACATTACTGTTCAATAGGTTCTTTCAGGGGCTTGCTCAGGAAAAAGAAAAAAAGAAAAGCAATAAAGGAGAAAGCAGAGACCGAGCCTGGCAGACCATTCCATGGTGTGAGGCAAGGCTGCCACGGCCAAGCTCAGGTTTTGGGGGGAGGCAGGAGGGCTGGCTGCTTCAAGAAGTGTCAGAAAAGGGGTTATTTGAATGCACAGAGCTCAGTGACTCTCGGCCCGAGAGCTCAAAGCCTCAAGGCACTGAACAGACACCCAGGACAGTCTGGCTTTGGAGGGGTAAAAAGGCTGCTCGAGCCCTCATGGCAGCTCTGTAATGGAGCAAGAGACAGGCACAAAAGCATCCCAGCCCTTTGTACCCACATTTGTACCCCGTGGGGTCCCCTTGCCCGTGCACCCCGACTCTCCCTGCACACAGCCACCCTCCGAAACGAGCAGCCCCTTCCCCTTGGCAGGATTTCTCCTGACCCTCCCAGCTCTCAGGGCTGACCACGCTGCTCTTTTCAGCTCCCGTCCTCGCTGGCTGCCCCAAGGTCTGTCCCCACTCACAGCCCTCCTGGGGACAGCTGTGACCCAGGGCATCCCCTTCTTGTCTGTGGCGCCTTCCCAAAGTGCTGCATTGAGAAATTAATTGAGAAATTAATCTTTTCCCAGATCCACTCGCAAATTTTAGCACCCAACAACTTGAATCCTGGCTAGGTTTTCTGGGCACACCTCTAAGGCTTTGTTCTTGCAAAAAAAAAACCAAACCGATGCAGAATGAGCAAGAAATCCTTCACTCTCACAATTCCCTGAGAAGATGCAGATCTCACCCTGCAGCAGATTTGCAATCATGGGTGGAAAGCAGAGTGTTTCCCCGCGGTCTAAGGATGTTGGGAGCAGAGGAGGGGATGCTGGGGAGGGGCTGGAGAGGACGCAGCGTGTCCTTTTCCCCCAGGGACATGTCCTACCTGGTGGTGGGCGACCTCTTCCTGCGCTCGCAGTGCACGGCGTCGAAGAAGGCGGCGTTCCAAAACCGCAGGTTGTGCCTGCAAGGAGGGAGAGGAGATGTTGGGGGGTAGCAACGTCCCATCTCCCCCAGCCTGTCCACGAGTCCTCCCAGGGCGAAGCTCACCCAGGGGCCAGGAGGTGGCTCAAGGGGTGGAGGTGGGTGAGTAAGCACGTCTGGTTTCGGACCAGCTACTTGTGTGGCTGCAAACACGCTCTCACTACCACAAGGGACGTGCAAAAGCCATGGCCACTTCTTTTAGGGGCAGCAGCAGCTTAAAAGTGTTCATGAACATCTGGGGAACGTGTGGGCAAGGAAGATAAATCCCTGGGAGGCCAACAGTGGGCAGGAGCCAGCTCGCCCCGTGAAGGCCTTACCAGATCGGCTGCTGCTTGAGGTGCATGTACAGGTAGATCTTCTCGCCTTTCTTCTCCTCCTCTGGGCTCTGCACAGAAACTGTGGGGACACACAGTTACATGCCGAGGTCTGGATGACTCCCACCTTCCCACCCATGCACAGACTTTTTGCCCTGCTGCTAGCTTGGCGTCCAAGCAGCTGTGAGGGCAAGGTTTGCAAACCAAATGCTCATCCCCAACACATCCTCAATAACAAGAAGAGCTTTGGTTGCCCCTTGCAGGCAGGTATTAGCTGTGAACACTCGAGGGACTGGACCACCGGTCCAGTACTAGCACACGCAGTACTGGAGGGGACAGACTGTTGGAATGTGAAAGCTCAGAGGCAGTGGATGCATAAACCTGTGCCACCAAGGACAAGATGCCACAAGACGTCCTTGTGGGACAAGAGCTGCCGTTGCTCCAAAGCAAGGAGCTCTGAAGGTTCCTTTGTGGCTCTTCTCTAGGAGCTCAGAGGAGACAGCATCGGTCCTCCCTGCCCTTCTCCCTGCCCCACAGCTCCGGCAATGCCGGCCGTCTCACACCACTTCCAACCCTCACTCCTTCCCCGGGGATGCCTTGACCATGTCTACTTCAGTAATGTTGGCTTCCACTCACCCGTCTTCTTCAGCTTCTCCTTTGGTTTGTCCTCACCTTCGCTGTGGCACAGAAATCAGTGTCAGCTCCCAGAAAAGCCTGTCCCCCTGACAAACTCATGTGGCAAAGCCCTGGCCTCCCTGGCAAGGGGAGCACCTTTATTCGAAAGACCCCTTGCTCCCACACCACTGTCCCCGGGGTCAAAAAGGTGGCCAAGAGACCGTGATGTCCATCCTAGTCAGACCCAGTACAGAGATGATGTGGAAGATTGCAAAGCAAAGGCACCATCTCCTGGAATCACATATCTCCATGCCCAAGGGATGTGGGATTCCCAGACCATGAGATGCCCCAATGACTAAAGTATGAAGGATGGGACCAGGATAGAGACCATCCTCCCATGGCCACGATAACCCCCGGCTCATGGTGGTCCTACACCCAGGAGGTGTCTGTCTTGCTCACGTTATGGGTGCCTGCCCTGCTCACCCCACAGAGTGATACCCACTCGCTCTTTTTGGTGGTAGGACCCTTCAGTTTGGTCTCCAGGCCCCCGAAGAAGCCCTTGACATTCTCTGTCTTGGCCGATGTGTTTTTCAGCAGTCGCTCTGCAATGTCCTTCTTCTCCGCCAGCCAGCTGTTGGCTGACTTCAGGTACGAGTCGATGCTGCCCATGGGCTTCTCCTTGGCCTCCGAGGGCAGCGCGTGGGTCTTGCCTGTGGACAACAAGTCAGGAGTTCAGCTGGTCCCACGGTCCTGGGGGCTGCCAGGTCCTGGGAAATCTGCTCCCAGCTACAAGACACACCAGGATCCACGTGGAAACAGCTCAGATCCCATCCCAGTTCTTGTAGGTCTTTGTCCTCCCCCCATATTTTGGATAGAAAATCCCTGTGGAGGAATAACCACCACACACCAAGCAACAAGCCAAGGTTTTTCTGGGCTTGGGCATTCAGATCACATCCCCAGGTTTGAGGAACCTCTAGGGATTGCCACAGAGAAACATCCCTGGCTAGAAGCAGCAGCAAACCAGCATCAGCTCAAGCTGGAAAGCCACGGGAGGGTTTGCATAGCTTCTTGTCCATGAAGGCTCTTTTCTGCTCAGCATCAGAGTCAGACAGAGTAAACAAGGCTTGGGTACCCCTCCATCAGCCTTCCCGTGCACGGAGCACTTCACCACCGGTCTCCAGCAAGAGTAAAGCCCAAGGGTGGAGGTACCTCTTACCCACATAGTAGTAGGTGAAACACATGGTCATGAGGTTCTTGGCAGGGCTGAAGTCATCCATTTGGTGACACCTGGCACGGAGGGAGGACTCAGTGAAGACACCCAGCGAAGGCAACCCCGGGCAGCTCTGAGGTTGCTGCCCCGCCTCGAGCCGTGGGCTCTGATCTCAGGGGCTTTCAGCGGTTGCAGTGAAGCTCAGACCCACCTACTCCCCCCACCCAGCCCTGACTTACTCGAACAGCACGAGGGCGAAGGACTGCATCAGGCGGTAGAAGGTTTGCTCTGAGACACACTTGGAGTTGCAGCGCTGCAGGCACAGAGCCCAGGGTTTAGCAGAAATCCTGCAGGGCAGCTGCCTGCCATGAGCAGCAAGGATAAAAACCCCTCCCCAGGACCCCCCCGCCACAGGGAGCTGGGCAGAGAGCACACGGTCTCCTTCTCGGATTTGGTTTTCTAGGGAATAGGACATTTCTGAGCGTTGATGCATTTTTATTTTAAACAAAACAGGCGATTTCTCTCCCATGTTGCAATGAGCGTGTATTTAACTGCCTCGAGACTCAGTCATTCACTTCTCTACCTCCCCGTACTCCAGTTCCTCCCTTTGGCTGAGTTCCCACCCTCCAAAAACATTGCTCTGGGGTACTGCTAAATTCCCCTGGCTGGAGTTTCCTGCCCCAGGCTGCTCCTTTGCCCATCTCTTCCCTTACCTGGGCACTCACGTATCTCGCAAACCACTCCCTGCCCTTCCCGTTCTCGCTGCTGCAGAGCTCACCAAACCTGGCCTTCTCTTCCTGGTCCAAATCCTCACTGAAATGGGGAAAAAAGAAAAAAAGAAACACCATTAAATTTAAGGATGTGGCTGGCATCAGCACAGCTCGGCTCCCTCACATCATCGCTCTTGGCGGCAGCATCCCGGTGCTGCGACTGCAGGGAGGAAGGCTGAGGAAGAGGAACATCCATTTTATCACACCTCGGCTGACACTGCTCTTTTGTTCTTCCCTGGCAAGGGGGAAACCAAAAGTGGAGGGAGAAGCAAGAGCCAAGGACAGCCTGAGCAGAAACCGAGCTCTAGAGACAGGCACTCTGCCCCCGAGCGAAAAAAACAACGCCTGTTGCTGCTCATCACGCTCGGTTTGCTCAATCCTCCTTGACACGCCGCGGTACGGAGACCACAGTGATGGGAGCTGCCGGCGGGGAAGCGGGGGAATGCAGGGCTGGCAGGGGTGGGCAGAGCCGGGGGCATTTGCACGACCATCAGCAGAGAGTCAGGGAGAGGAGCTGGAGACCCCACCAGCACCGCGAGAGAGAACCGGGGAGAAGGAAGAAGGGAGGGAAGCTGGGGGTGAGAGACGAGCAGGGACATGCCCAGGAGATGCACAAGGGAGACCCGGCGTCCCCCCCACCTCAGCCCCAAGGTTGTGTCACGGCTGGGAGCAACGAGCTGCGTCAGCCAAGCGCGGGGAAGGACACAAACCGGTGCTTCCGGGGGTGGGAAAGCAGCCGGCCCCGCTCGCTCACCCCCCGGTGAAGATCTTCTCCACGTAGTGCCTCATGAACTCCCGGCGCTCGGCCGTCGCCTCATCCCGGGA